GTATGCATGAAGCTGAGACTGAAACTTGCAAAGAACCCAAATACAGAAATGAACGCGAGAGCGACGTATTTCAATCTCTATCTAAATTGTTTTTCTTTTTTTTCTTCCGTAGGGAGTATCATAGACGTTTCACTGCGATGATCATTATAAACCCGAAGATTACAGCGAACGTCGCTCGTCCTCCGCAAAACACGTTAAAATAAATTGCCTGATACAACTATTTCAACACCAGAGCCGCTCAAATTGTATCCATGGAGTTGAAGGCGAACTTGATTTCTCCTATTTTCAATTATTTAGACGTAAGCACGAGGAAAGGGCTACAATAATGATGTTGCAACTTACCTTAATGTACGCATCGCAATAAATCTAAATATCCGGGAGAATCGAATAAAAATAACCGGAGTATCGCTGCGAAGGTCTTCATAAACACGATATTTACGAAGAAAAAGGGAACGATTGGATGAACGCTCCTCCACTTGTGTTTAAATCGAAAAAAAAAAAAAACGATGATTATCACGAAGAAATGGATCACGCATAACTCGAAAATTGGTTTAACAACGCTCATTCCAAACATGTTTGAATCGACAAAAACCGAAGATTATCACGAAGAGATGGATCACGCAAAATTCGTAAATTGATTTATAATTCAACAACCACGCTCATTCCAAACATTGAAAATAACAGTACGATTATAATGGACAGTGCGTCCCATCACTCGCGACAAACAGAGAGGACAAGATAGAACAACTCCAACAAGTTCATCCAGAAAAGCAGACATGCTTGGGTGATTAAGAATTAAGTAGGTATAGGTATACAGCGTCCCTGGCAGTGAGAATAATCAAAAGTCATGCTCACCTACACCAAAAAAATGCGATTGAAGAAACTGGCGGTCTCTTCATGCAATCCGAAGGACATGCTAAGATTCATACACTATCTGCAACTTACTTTATGGTCCCGAAGTTGCAAATAGTGTGATCATGCTGTACAGAGCGGACCTGCTGTACAGAGGTGTTTTGAACTACATGCATGTCTACAAGACCGAAGGAGGTTTTGCGGGGCATCCACACAAATTGGAGGAATTTGTTAAACTTTGTGGACAAGCTAAACTTTTACTAAAACCGAAAAAAAGTCGCTTGGCCATGACAGAATGCGACGCACTCGGTTTTCACATTAGTCAAAACGGAGTCTCGCGTCAGTGACTCGATCCGAGGGATTTTATCCCTCGCTATCGTGATTCGTCACCTTCCGAGGAGGTCCTTCGCTCACGCGTTGGAGGCTGATCCGAGGGACGTACCCCTCGCTATCGCCTCCTTCCCCGAGCCCCCCCCCCCTTTCTTTCCCCATTTTCCTTCAGGATATTTATCGGACCATTACAAAACGAACATTAATTAAAATCATACTTCGCTCTGTGCAGATTTAAATGAGGTGTTCAATTTTGTCATAGAAAATGAAATTGGGACCACAAAAATGTTTCTCCGGTGACAAGCTAACTAGTTAGAATTATGACCCGAGGACATGGATAGGAGGCCGACAGTAGCAGAACTAATAGCTTAGTGCAGTGAAAATACCGGGTCCTGTCGGTCGATGCGTTTTGATCTAGCAGCATTGCAATTCGCACCGTTTCGACGTTGTCCGACTCGTTTTTCCACAGATCGTCCGATGTGGACCCTCTAAGACATGATTTATATATTTATACGTTTTTTATATTATTCTGCTGATTCTAAAACTATGACAATATTGTTTGAAGTTATTAATTTCATTGATATATTTAGGTTTATTTTTCTTTCATTTTTTTCTTTTTAAAAAAAATCACACTTATCTCACTATAGTAAAAAAATATAAGGCATTTTTTGTGTGCACGTCCGTCCCACTCAGCATGAAACATTACATCAACATTGATGCATATCGACAAATCTGATGAAATGTTACGCCATATGGATGTTATATTGCATCCAGGTTGGCTGAAACGAGGTGGACGCTGTCAATCTTAATATAATGTGTATCCTATATCGACATCACGCTATTGACGACGTCAACATCTATCTAGCTTACATAAACATTGACATTAGTTGAGTAGATACAGCACATTGATTTTCATTGACGGCGTCAACATTTCGATCGACAGTTTATTAAATTTGCGCGCGCTCGGTCGAATTTAGCGCGCAAACAGCGTTACACAACATCAACAACAGACCGCGAAACGGCTTTCTAGAAGGTTCACTAACCTCAAAATTCATAAGTGCGCGGCGTGTGCGTGATTGCCCAGACGTATATTTTGTTCGACGGAACATGTTTTGTTTCTTGTGTTATTTGCTCTGTTTGCTTTCGTGTCAAGTCAATTAATAATAAGTTGCAAAGTTCAGCATCCTGGCATTCCTGGCCGCAATTCTCAAGTGATCTGTGATCATCATATTACTTACTACTTCCTAGTTACTACCGCCTGCCAACACCAGAGACCGTAAGTCTAAATATCATGTTTTGAAGTCCTAAAAATCAATCAGAATGTCTGACGGTGACAATAAGTTGTTCGTCAGTTTTCGTTCGAAATCTAAATATAGGAAAGTGGCTCGATCCATTCAAAATGCCCCATCAGAAATCTTGCCCTCCACCTCCACTACTCCTCAGGTTCCTCAATTTTCTCCCACTCAAGCTGTCAATCCTGATCCTGAAATCTTTGATAACACCTTTTTTGTTTCCTCCCCTCCTAGCATATCGCCTTCTCCCCTCGACCATATTCCTTCAGCCCCTAGAGTTTCGCCATCTGATGGTGATATAAATCAGGAAATTTTGCCTGGGCATCTCGACACAGGGTTGCCAGAGTCAGAGCCGTCATTTTCTACTGAGGAGCTACTTGAGCTTGTAAATGCCCCCCCTGAAGCTGATTATTCTGAGGAAGAAGATGAGTTTATCGACATCTGTGATCCTGTTGAGTCGTTACAAGATGAGCTCAGAAAGTGGGTGGCTGAATTCAACATTACATTAGTGGCTCTTTCAGCTCTCTTATGTATTTTGCGTTCCCATGGCTGCTTTTCGAGGTTACCTAAAGATGCTCGAACTGTTTTGAAGACACCCAAATCAGTAATTCCAAAAAGTGTTCCCCCTGGGCAGTATTATCATCTTGGTTTGCGAGAAATTCTATTAAAATTGCTTGAAAGTGTTGTTGTCAGAGGTCTAGTGTGTATCAAGTTGATTATTGGAATCGATGGTCTACCGCTGTTTAAGAGTGCTGCACGTGAAGTTTGGCCAATTTTGGCTTGTATTAGCAACGTGCCCTCTCTTGCTTCCACTGTATTTCCGATAGGTTTGTATGTTGGTGCCAAAAAACCACTTGACTGCGGTACTTTTTTGGCAGATTTCGTAGAAGAAGCAAAAGATCTGATAGTCAATGGTTTGTGGGTGAAAGGTGTTCATTTAGCAGTTCAAATCAAGGGATTTTCACTTGATGCTCCTGCAAAAGCCTTTGTTTTAAACATTAAAGGGCATGCTGGATACTGGTCCTGCACAAGGTGCCATCAAGAAGGCGAACATTTTGCAAATAGAGTGACATTTCCTAATCTTTCAAGTACCCCAAGAACGAGTGCCGAGTTCTTGAGAGGTGAAGATACTGACTTTCATCATGGTCCAACACCACTATCTACTCTTGGAGTTCTTGGTTTTGATTTGGTTCGAGGAGTGGCTCTTGATTATTTACATCTTGTGTGCTTAGGAGTTGTGCGGACTCTACTCTTTATTTGGTTGTATGGTAAAGTCCCTCTCAAATTGTCTGCTCAGTGTGTCCAAAAACTCTCAGATAAACTTGTCCTTTATGGCTCCTTCAAACCGTACGAGTTTGCTCGCAGGCATCGAAGTTTAGACTACGCAAAACGGTTTAAAGGAACAGAATTTCGCCAGTTGCTTTTATACAGTGGTCCCGTTCTGTTTGAGGAGCACCTGAGCAAGGAACACTACAACCATTTCTTGTGTCTTCATGTCGCAATGACTATATTATTACACCCCACACTAAAAAATAAGTATCGTGACTATGCCAAGGATTTACTGAAACATTTTGTTCAGTGTACTATAATACTTTACGGGCAAGAGTTTCTAACCCATAATTTTCACGGGCTTCTCCACATTGCAGATGATTTAGATTATTTCAATTCTCTTGATGAGTGTAGTGCTTTCAAGTTTGAAAATTATTTAGGGTGGTTAAAAAAACTTGTTCGAAAAGGACAATCAGTCTTGCAGCAGTTAATAAAGAGATTGAAAGAACGATGCTTTGTAACTGGCGAAGAATCCCAAACAACTTCTTCAAAACTTCTTCATCAGCATGACTATGGTCCTCTTCCAGCAACGTGCTGTGACCCCCAATATAGGTTTTTTTCTCTGCCTTCCTTTAAGTTATCCACTGAGAAACCAAATAATTGCTGTGGTCTGAAATCTGGAAATATTCTTCTTATAGAGAATTTTGCGCACTCTTCTGAGACTAATGAACCAGTTTTGATTGGTAGAGAGTTTACAAAGAAAGAAAACCTTTATATGGATCCGTGTGAAAGTTCTTGTCTTGGTATTTTTGAAGTTAGTGAACTTTCTGCTTTGAAAGTGTATCCTGTTTCAGAAATTGCCGTTAAATACTACCTTCTTCCATCTAGAAAGAACCATGCTGTGTTTCCTATCCTGCATACCCAACAATAATTTTTTTGTTTTGTTAGAAATACCTGGTAGAGGTGTCGTCAGCTAAGTTGATGGTTGTTTACTTTCGGTTTGCAGGCGTTTTCGTGTCACTACTATCCACATGAAAACATCCGACTCTCTCAGAAGCAAGAACACAAGCTAAGATAACTTTTTTAATACTTTCAAACCTTGTAATACTTTAATTTTTAGCCACACAGAAATCACAACCACAAAAAAGTCACTAATCATAACTGATAAGTAGTTTTTTTACGATACGATCATGAGACTGATGTTTTCAGTGTGGATTGTAGCGAACGCCGCTTTGTTCAGAGGCCCAAATTCGTCGTTGGCGCTTGCAAACCGAAAGTAAACAACCGTCAACTTAGCTGACGACACCTCTAAGTGAAGGGTGAAAATTAAAAGAAAAAATTCAAATCGTAACCTGCAATGTTCCAGATTTCTTGTCTCTTTTGATTTTTTCTAAGTTGAATAAACCATTTCATATTTTCAAAATTATTTTCACACTACAATGAATAAGTAATCTGTACAAATTTCAAACTTGAACGTTCATCCCTTGCCAGCATGGTAAAACCTTCATACTGTTCCAAATCCGACCTATAAATGGGTCTCAACCAAAATATTTACTTCTAGCCTCTATACATTTGTAAGTAGTCTATATTCAAAAGTTTTTGCATACGGGGCTTGAAAATGGATACAGGCGGATACAGTTAAGTTATGAGTTCCTTTATGCGCCATCTGATCCACTGCAACTTGCAAGAAGAAGCTTTACACTCTGTGGATAGAGGTAATAATGTTGATCATATTGTTGAAACTTGCAGAAAGTGGCCAGGTAAAACGTACTTTGCAACAGGTGTAACTGAGCAAAAGTTGTAATGGTAAGTTTCAGAACTTTCTTGTTTTTTTATTTTCTAATTTCTTTTTCCCTATTATTTTTTCCTCATTAAGAAAAGTTTCCATCAATTCTTTTGAATTAAAATCTGAGTTTCCTTAAAGTCTCAAAATGCTTGTAATGAATCCCTTAATATTTTATGTCTTTAATATTTCAGGACATCATGATAACATTTGCTATCGTTTTGTTTACGGAGGAAGAGGATTCTCCTGCAGTGGTGAGGGATGACTGGCTGCGTGTCAATGACACCAAAAGTTTCTGGCCATCGTTCGCAAGGTCCAAATGTCAAATTGAAAAGCTTCTTACTGATGTGAACATTTTCCCAAGAGAAGAGGACGGGTGGGAGTTGTGTCCTGTCCGAGTTCTTTGCAAGGGAATTGGTATGTTTTTTTATTAATCGTTTACTTAAGTACTAAGTTTTCTTAAAGTGTGAGAGTGTAGAAGAATGGATATAATTCATATTAATTCCCCTATGGTTTGAAGCACTTTCCATTAGTAAAATCAATTATTTTTCAAAAGCCCCTATCTTCCCAATAGTAATTATTGACATACAATTTTGGACGCAAATACATCCATAGCAAATGACAGGATACAAATTGCTGGTATTGATCGAATTTGAATCTGAGAGCAGATCATGCTGAATACTTTTTGTGGGAAAATCGCCTTTTTAGGTGGGCTCCCAATTATTTTTGGAGTTACGCGGCCTTAAAACTGGGGATCAGCGGTGGCATCAAAGATAGGTAAATTGGATTCCTCAAAAACAAGACATTGTACTGTTGGGCTTTCTTTTTTTCTTACCTTCTCTGTTTACTATTGAAACACCCCCCGTTTTTAATCATCATAATAACCTTTTGCAGGGAAAGAGGAAATAAAATGTGAGCAGGGTTGGGAAAAATTAACTTAAACTTAATGGGGGGGAGGGAGGCAGGTATCATTGATGATGAAAATTAAGTACTTTTGTATGAAATTCAAGAACAGTTTAGTTAAGTTCAGTAGGGAGGATCTAGGTCACATTTTCCGAAGATTAGTAGACAACGATTGTTTCTATGACCAGTTTTTTCCATTCTCCTGCTCAAAAATGAAAACCCATGTAAAATTCTAGTATCAATCTAAAACATGAACTTGGAAGCTTTCTTCTTATATTGAGCCAAAATAACTCAGTTTTGTTCTGCTGAACTCATTCACATTTACAAATCCACATTTTTGCGTCCAATAGTGCATAAGGAGTACCTAGACTCATTCTGAGCGTACCACCGTTTCAAACTCCTTGAGTAGATTAAAAAGCCCAACTGGCAGCAAATACTGCAGAGTTGCATGATAATCTTTAATTTATTTGTAACTGACACCAAAAGCAAACATACCTGAAAGCCTTATCATTGAATTAAACTTAAGACTTTCATGATATTTCCGTTTTGAAGAAAATCATGTTGCCAAGAAAGTGCCAATAAGAGTATTTCTTGAACATTTTTCCTGTAAAATTTAGGATCTGCTTTCTTACCCTAAAGATTGTCCAGCAGGAGTCATTCAAGCTCAGTGCTCTTATTCTCACTTTTACATCTTGTCCTTGCTTTTATAGTAACATTTCTCATAGCTTTTTCTGATCATGCTTTATTTTTACAGATGATCTCATAACAGCTAAAGCTTCTGCCAAAACAGCTGAGTTTACTTCGGACATTGAACTTTCAGGCAGGTCCAAGAGAATTATCAAACCTGTCCAAAGGTACAACTTCGACGGAAGTTCTGAAGATGATGAGGCTTCAAACTCCATCAATAATCGAAAAAGACAAAAGAAACAAGAGAAGCCGGCTCTACCATTTCATCCCCTTCCTCAAGCTCCGGCAATATATGCTTCTTCTAGGGTACCTGTTGATCTCGTAAAGCAGTCTCCATCAGATTTTATATCTCCCTCAAAGGCATCACCAACTTTGAACACTAACGAGAACAATAATTTCAATTCCACCCATGACCAACGTACCTCTGGTAACTTCCTATGCTTTATTTCTTACTGCGAATCATTTATATTTCTCCAGTCGTGCAGTACTTATGCTTCTTACTTATTCCCCACTAAGCTAATTAAAATGTTACTGACCCTCCGCAGTGAAGTCAGCAAGAACTTTTCATTATTTCCAAGGATGGAAAATTTTAAGAGAGGCAGTGAAGTTTGCCTCTGACCACTGATAGCTGAGATTTAAATTCTTCTCATGGAAGGCTTCATCTCCTCTCCAAAAATTTATTGAGTAACATCAAGAACTTCAAGAGACCCATCTCTTTGGCTAAAGTTTTACTTTAATATCTTTCAGCTGAATTTTTACGTTTTGTTCCATAAAACCTCTTCACGCACCGGAAATTTATTGACATCAGTGGGCTCAGAACAATTTTTTTGTGATATCATGCCAAAGTTATGAAGCATGTAGATAAATGAAAATCTTTCTAACTACAAGCCTGAATATATGATTGCTTAAAATCGAATCTCTCTGAAATGTTGGATACTTGCTAATTAAAATCTGGCAGATCATTCAGCATAAATTTTCCTTGAAGTTGCAACAACCACAATTGAAGAGTTTGCCCGTAAAAGGGCATATTATAAAATCGTTCCTTGTTTTGAAAATCTATTGTACAGCATCAGCGCATCTCTGGAATCATACAGTCATGTTGTTATGTTGATTCGTCGCTCATGTGCAGAATTAAAAGCCGAACTTTGCAAAGCCACACTCTCAAAGCTTCAAATGAACTTTTTCTATAACACACATTTTTAAAAGATGCCCTTCTACAGGCAAACTCTTCAATTGCATTAAAATTTGATAAACGCTTCATTTTTTTGTCAATATTTTGCGATGTAATTCTTAATTTCAGTTTCTCTTTTAGTGAATTTTATTTGTCTCCCCTTCCAAAAGTACCTAAGAATGCTGAAAAAAATTAATTTAAAGTCTGTTCCAATTCAGTAATCACTGTGTCACTGAGTCTGTTCCTTGTCCTATTTGTTCATAGATGATGCCATCCTTAGAAAATTGCATTATATCCAGACTTCCGTCGATTCACTAGCCAGAATGGTAGAAGTACTGTCTAAAAAAGTGGACTCAATCAGTGGATTTATAATCTCAGTAGCTGAAGCTCCTAAAGATCTCTCTGCAGGTGTCAGCAGTAACCCATTGGCCTTAGAAGAACTTTTGCCATGTCGTGACAATGATTCTTTGGTGAAGGTGAACGATCAGCTAATTGATTCAAATGAAGCAAGAGTGAAATTAGTAAGTACAACAGCATGTGGATACAAAATTAATAAATAGCAGGCAACTTAACCATGAGGAAAACTGAAGCTTTGATTAGGCTAACATTTGCATGGTAAAACCCCGCAAATCCCAGGCAAGACTCAAAACCTGGATATCACATGGAATTCTGGCAATTTGCTGTAATTATGAAAAATAATTTGAAATTTTGGCCCTTGGATGATTTCAATGCTGAATTTTGCTTCCTATGTGACTTGGATAAGCAGTGGTGGTTTTGGACAAAGTAAAAATCGAAGCATTTGGAATTTAGGAAATTTTATGAACCCTGAAAGTGGATGCGAAGGATAGTTGTCCAAGGGCTGTTATCATTTTGTGCATCTTCATTTTAACTCCTGCTCATTCACTTCGCCAGATGCGTACCTATTGCCTAAGCAAACGAAGTAATTTCAGATTATAAAGGGATAAAAATTATCATTTTTTTTATTTAATTAATTTTTTTCCATGCTACTTTCTCTCAGAAGCTACCAATCTCCACATTTCCTTCGCTTTCTTTACTTGGTATAAGTAGCAATGTGCCTCTTTTATTGTTTGTTGAGAAGCTGTGAAGCATATTTGTAACATTTTGAACATCATTCAGTGAGAAAGTCACTGAATTGGTAATCGCAGAATTTTCATCTCTTTTCTTCATGACAGTATATTTGGTTTGAATTTGATTAATGAAGTCAGATACTCATTTTTTATTGCTTTTTTTTAGGTGAGAATCCTATCAAATGTGGGAGGCAAAACCACCAAAGATAAACTGTTTGGAATGATGAAGAGGATAATGAATGATGACGTTGCAATCCTCTATAGTTTTAAAGGGCAGTCGCACAGCAAAAAATCATTCGAGGATTTAAAATTTCTCAAACTTATGACAAGTAAGTTTTTATTAATTAGATTTAGATTAGGTGTAAAAGTCAGGAAACTTCACGTAACCAAACTTAATTTTCCATTATTACGATTATCATGCCAGTCAGGGCAAATCCACGAAATAAAATAAATAAAAAAGTAATGAAAGGGTCAAGTAATTAAGGCAACTCACAAGGCTAGTGCAATAACAACTACAAAGATGGAAGTAAGCTTAGGCAAATGGTAGTAGCAATTAGGTTGAAGTATTCAAGCAAAGTAAAGTAAATCACAGCTGCTGTCATAGCATTGTCTGGAACCTTTGTGAAGGTACCCCATTGAAGTCATCCAGGTGACCGGCAATGCCTGCCCAAAAAAAATTTAAAAAAAAGAAGGAAATCGATGGATAGAGCCGTAAAGGAAAGATAATAGGGCTCATGGTGAAATATACGTCTGTATGGAAAGAAGCGATGATTAGTACTTCAGGTGAACTCTATTATCCTTTACGTAAATATCACAGCCACTGCAGTGACGGTTACTCTTCCAAAGGGACCACCTTTAGTTATCAGCCTTATAAAATCAATTACAATTTCACCAAAATCTGATTTGTTGAAATGCCTGTACTTGGGTGTTTATAAAACCTCATACCTCACTGATTTTTCGTTTCATTTAATGGTTTCTTATATCTCTTGCAGAAGTTCTTCAAGATCAGAAAGCACCGGATGCGACAGATGTTTACATAAAAGATGTAGTTGCAGATTGGCTCATTCAAGCTAAGACCAGGAGAAGCCGGAAGTAAGTAAGATATTTTTATTCTACATATTATCCACTAAAGGAGTCAAGTAAAGTTTCCCCTCCATTTTTTGACTCAAGTTCCATGTTTGGACGTATTAAAACAAAATTATGAATTTTCAAAATTTAGAAGTCTTGTGTTAAATATTACAAATCCCTCGCTGAAGAGATGGCCCCGTCTTTTTCATTTTTCATTAAACCAAATAAAAAAATCCCAAAAAAAGGGGAAAAAACCTTGTACTTTCTCCTCCAACTATCTGTTTTTCCGTGTGCCTTTGTTGTCCAACCAACCTTGTCGAGGCTCATCCCGCTTTTTTAGTTTTCTTTTTTAACTGTCCTCTATGCCTACTTAAAACACATAATGTGACGAGACATAATTGAAGAAACTAATAAGGAAGTCAAATGCACATGTAATGGAGATTTCAGTGGATACGGTTTTTTTTTTTTTTTTAGTATCCCCCAGTGACTAGGGGTTATATACTGAGAAATTTGCATGATGCTTAGAGATGGCTCAATGGAAACAAATGGGCAATGACAGACAGTTCCTGTCTCCTCGTAAAACGTCTCTTTTTTCCCTCTGACTATTCCTGGTGGATTATTTGAACCTTTTGAATTTTCTTATAAATGCCGTGCCTTGGTTGGGAGCTACAGGGAGCCATAGGACATTAGGATTTTTTTTTCTTCATAAAATATTTTAAAAATGAGTGTTAAAAGTTCAGTAATTTCCTTTTACAGACTTTCACGAGCATTGAAGAAGACTGAGAATGTCATTCAAGGAGATGAGAATGCTCATAGCCAGAATCCTGTAGACTGTAATCCTGGAATCCAAAATCCACAAAATGAAGAAATCCTGTCAGCTGTTCACTCAGGCCTCGACATAGCATCTGTCATGCTGACTAGCTTATAGATTATTGCTTATGCAATTTCACCGTCCCAGAAGATGGACACTTTCTCCAATCGTTCTTTTCTTTATTTCCGTTTTTGTTATATTATTTTTTTTCGTTATTATTTTTGATTTTTATTTTCGTGTTATCAGATGAGGTACTATTCTGAGATACTAGATGTAATTTTCAATTTATTCCTTGGTTTCTCTCAGAAACTGAAAATATCAGGGATAAGTAATTGTGTTAATTGAGCAAAACATAGCTTTATAATCATTACTTACATTATTATGCCACTTTTTCTATGGATACTCATACAGAAACTTTAAGTTCCTTTTTTTTTCATTAACTACCATTTCCTTCATTTCCATTCTTGTGAGATTCTTTAAATGTTTTTCTTGGTTTCTTTCAGAAACTGAAATTATGAGGGATACATAATTTTGTTTTTTGTGTACAACTTTGCCTTCAACAATGGCATTACCGTGCCTTTTTTCCTATCGATATTCATACAGAAACTTTAAGTTCCTTTTTTTTCTTTAACTGCCATTTCCATTCTTTTGAGATAAATTAGACTTTTTCAATATTTACGAAAGTTTTCATCGCATACCTGTAAATTGGAGAAAAACACTAAAATTTTGACCCGAATATTAAACAAGTTGTTCGAATAGTGCTGGGTCCACATTATTTTGCGGGGAAACAAAGTCAAAAGAAGTACTAAAATTAAATTAGAATTTATAAGTATCAGAATTTACTTTTAAATTGTAATTTAATTTTTTTACTTCCTTTGGCTTTGTATTCCTGCAGAACAGTGTGGACCCAGCAATATTCTAACAACTTGTAACTTAGGTAATGCTTGTTTCACACTGTGTTGACCTCAGTTTCCTTTGAGTTTTTTCTCCTTATTCTCATTCGTTGCTGGCTTAGGTAAAATTAGCCAGCTAATCATTGCGAAGACGCTTTTAAATATTCTGACAATTTTAAGCTACAACTTAATTTGTTACTAGACAGGTTTGAATGTGAAAAAATGTGTTACAATCATTGTGTTACAACAATTGTGTTAATTTGTTACAATCTTTGTGCATTTGTTCGTGCCTTTCCTGGAGTCTGATATTTATTTATTTATTTAATAAAGTACATGTCTCTTATAATTTTAAAGATATTCTCACTTACAAATATTTTATGAATTTCATGTTAGCTGTAGACGTCTTTATTTCCTGTAAAAGTTTTCGAGGTAAATTATTGTAGTCAGTTCAGGAAGTTACAGGACAACCAAATGTAGTTTTTTCATGAATGCAGATGTTTGTTATTCTGCATCATATTATTTCTAAACACTTGCTTAACAATTTATAGCCAAAATTGATTTTTTGAATGTAAGGAAGCCAGTAGAGGTTTCATTGGCCAGTAAACTCCGTGAAACTTTGATATTTTTTAACTCGGTTTTCTTCAGATAAGTAGGCAGTTGAACTGGCAGTTACCCTCTTACCCTTTCAATTGATGTCTCGCAAGGTATTTGTAAGATCTCAATGGCAACTTTCAAAAAGGCATAGCACCTGTTTTGAAATTGGAAAGAGGGCCCGTTTCCCAAGCCACAAAAATGCTTTGAAAGCATTTTTGCACTAAGACTGATCCCTTGATATTTTTCAAGACAGGTGACATACCTTAAAAATTGTCTTAGAAGATGATGCAATTACAGTTCATTGTTTAATTAATATAATTGAATGAACAGTTAGCATAAAGGAACCAATTGGCATCAGCTGTTGTCAAATTTCACCGGGCAAGTTTTTTCCTTTTTCACAGGAGAATTTTTGAACAGATTCTTATAAAAATTTCAGGGAATTTGGCTCACACCACACCAAAAATTCTCAGAAATTTCTGAAAAAATCTGTAAAACTGTTCTCCTGTGAGAGGATGAAGGGCCCGATGAAATTTGGCAATAGCTAATGCCAGTTGCTTCCTTTCTGCTGAACGCAGCTCAGGTGTCAAGGTTATATCAACCTAACATTAACCCAGATATCAACATGAAATCAACCTGTTAGCAATATAGCATCCATACCACTGCAGCTCTTTTGCAGTAACCGTCAATCTCTTTGTTACCTTGATTCCACATTGATGCATCTTCTTGCAAGGTTTCATCAAGGCTGACGATTTTGACACGTCAATATCAATACAAGGTTATATCCACATATTATGCTGAGTGGGGTGTCATTTCGCATGCTCATTGGTCTTTCATTAACCAATCAGAAAACTTCATTGAAAATCCCCGTGAAATTTAAAGGTATTCTTCCGTAAAGGAATTAATGATAGATAGACACGTATAAAAATGGGATGTATTTCTTCTAATTAACCAGGATAAAAGGGAGGAATATTACCTATACAGGATAGTCCTGGAAAAACGGGATGTACCTATATTAATAAACCGGGATAACAGGAAGGATATCGATCTTTGTGTATCGATCTTCGATACATCGTTTGTTCCAAAGCAGTATTGACTGGGATAGAACGGGATTTCTTCATAATAACCGGGATAAAAGGGAGGGATTTTACCTATACAGGATAGTCATGAATAAAGCGGGAAGTAACTATATTAAGAAACCGGGATAACAGGGAGGATATCGATCTTTATAAATCGATATCTAATATGATAAATTTCAGTAATATTCTGTTAGTTTTGGCCTTATGACTTCTAATCCTCAGTGCATTGCTTGTACTCTCCGTTCAGTGGATTCTGCAAGCGGGGTCGAGATGAGGGCCACGATGACGGTCGGAGCGGGTTAATCGCGGTTGGTAGTATTTTACCAACATTTTACCATGGTTTCGCACAGAAACAAGGCCCGAAGCCATGCGAGTTCTGCGCTCATCTCGAACAGCAAAGGAAACACTACCAATCTGATTTCACACGCACACTAAAATCACAAAAATCCGAGATCAGAGCTCCGACAGAATATGAGTGAAAGTTGCTGATGCAAACTTTTCAGCAAGCTGCTGCCTCGGCTCCGATGAAAATGCTTCGACAAGTGTGCCAGTAGAGCATCTGGCCCCTCAAGAATCCGAACTACAGAGGCGTCTTGATGTGGAAGTTGAAATATTCCTTGCCACCTAGGGGCTGTCGTACAACCTCGTAGAAGAGAGCTCTGGAAAATGTCGGAAATCTTCAATTTTTACATCCTCCGTCGTTTTTTTTTGTTACTTATTTTATTTTGTTTTTTTTTAAATCATGTGAGGAAACCCTCGTAAAGGCCTCGTAAAACCCCCTGAAGCGGGTCCCCCTTGGTTGCTATAGTTACAAAATTTTCAGTCTTAATCTCTGTCTACCCTTTTCCTGTACTAGAAATTATCTCCGTTATAAAAAAGCTCAATCTTTAAAAATCTTCCCTTGTCTTTTTACATCTATACTTTTCTACGAAAATAAAAAGGTAAAAAACTACAAAATCAACTAGTTAAAGTCTTTCAAAATTTCATTTGGTGCCGAAACCCAAGATTATCGATGACGGGACGAACCACCCGCACAAGCAGTAAACGTCGATCTGCAACAACTCCCCGCTTCACCCCCGGTAGTACAGTGCGCACTACTACACATAACACCCTTGAACCTCGTAAACCCCTCCAATGCTCCGAGGGAGAGGTGTCCCAAATGGCTCCCTCTTCAGCCTCCAAACATCCGGCATGGGTGCTTCTGGACCGGCGCCGTCTTCGATGGTTATCGGGCTGGGAGCGGGAGTCAAAGCCGGCGTTTCGGGGAGTCGGAGTCGGCGAATAAATCATGGGAACGGCGCGAGCACAATAGGAACCCGCGCGCGCGCGCCCATTAAAAGCGCGCGTCGGGCGTCGGGCAATACCGTTGCGCGTTGCGGCTAACGAGACGCTAATGACGCGTGTTATGAAAATGTCCCATTAGAAACCGCGGGCCAGACTCACTTGTCCGCGCACCCGGCCGAGATTTATCGAGCCTCGTCCGTCACAGGTGACCGTAGGAATGTCCGACGGCTTCATTTCGGTCTCTTAACCTCTCCTACCGCCCGAGACGGACGCGGCCGGCTCCACGCCGATTGAAAACGAAAACAAGGATGCTGAATTTCGCCGTTCGGAATTGGGTCAAACGTTTTACAAGTTTTAAAAAGTGCTTTCTACAGTATCGATGAATAATTGCTGAATGGTGTAACCCAGAACACCCTCCTGGTTGAATAGCTGACTCTGCTTCTCTTGACGTACTACTGAGGTAATTCTAGCCCTCTCTCGAAATTTGTGAACAATATTCTGTGCTTTCGGATTGTTATCTTAGAAATTTAATACTTTTTAGTTGATTAAAAAAAAACTTTATTGTACCTGAATTGACCTATACTATAGCCTCACGGCTCCCGTGTATCAAAATGTAATAAATAAATAAATAAATAAATAAACTTTGGATGTGGTCGGAGCACCTGTATTAGCGAATCCAGGAAATGGAGATGTTGCATGTGTGAGGAATTTGCGGTTTGAAAATTGCTTCTTATGTAGAAGTTCGCGAGAAACACGATGGTGCCACTGGTTTTCTCTGAAATCAGCTTCCAAGGTCAAAAAAAGCTCTCAAGTTGAGGCCAAAATGAAGGGGACATCCCACGCTATCCTGAGAGTCCACCTCTCCATCAAGACAAACTTCCCATGCAAAGATAAGGAGCAAATACATTATCAGGGTTGCCGTGTTTTCAGTAGAGTCCCCAAATAAAGTGACAGCCCAGTTAATGTATTTGCTCCAAATGTTTGCATGGAGATTTTGTCTTGATATAGAGGTGAACTCTCAGGATAGAGAGGAATATCCTCTATTTTGGCCTAAACTTGCGAGCTTTTTTTGAGCTTGGGAGTTGATTTTGGAGAAAACCAGTGGCACCATCGTGTTTTTCACGAACTTTTACATAAGAATCAGTAGCCCAATCGCAAATTTCTCACAAAAGCAACATTTCTATCGGCAACATTATCTTTACTCCATTTAAACCTATGGAAATGTATCGAATCTTGGAGGGGGCTAGTCGCTAGTACTCCAACAAAAGTCGATTATTAAGCATAAGTTCAAATGGAGGAAATCCGGTGATGCCAAATTGATGGATTTGCTTCTGGCAAGTAGACCGAATGGATGAAAAGAAATAACCGCGGAAAACCCAAATGGCACAACAATCCAGGGAATGGAATCCAAGATGCTGCCAAAATCTGCTAACAGTGTAAGCTCAATGAGCACAGTTTAGTTGTAGAGCAGCGATTAATTAGCAAGAGTAATTTTAAATCAAAGGTATGTGTGTGAGTGAGTTTTTTCAACATTCTATTTCGTGTCCTTGAGTAGCGGGTTAGAAACTCATAGCGCGGTAGTTAAACTACCTTTCTCTTTCGTAACTGTGATGAGGCCTGAGGCCGGTGCTCAACCCTTTTGTATTGTACCATATTTTTGTGAAACCGAGAGCTGTGTTTTTCTCTAAAGAAAGTAAAAGAAAGGTATTATATTTGAAATTATTAAATTTGCGTTTGTGTCTGTCTGTATCTCTCTTAGTCTCTTTCTCAGATCCCAACTTGAGGCTTTTTGAGTGTGGAGCAATGGAAAGCAATCCTCTTCTCCTGAGGATGATGGAAGATTTTATTGCTGTTTTTATTGATTTAACGAGTCCTTTATTCTTAGAAATTTATAGATTTTTTCTATTTGCATACTTTATAGTGCTCGATACAAAATGGCTTGACAAACAGGGCTATGCCCTGGTCTCTCGTAGAGGAAGAAGAAAAAGAAGAAGAAGAGGTATCTATTTTTTTGCCGCACTGCCATCAGGTTGTTCAACAACCTTCGCTTGGACGTAAGAGGGCTATTGAAAAATGCGGAAGTGAATGATTTTCTGAAGGGCCTAAAGACCTTGCTAGTTGGAAAGGCATATTCTTTTTATAATAGAATTCAATAATTATAATTACGGTGAAAATTGTGGAAGGTTTGAACAACTGGACATAAAGGAAGAAGTTCCGCTATTATTTTGACGGACAAATAAAAGTTCCGCGGATTGAGAGGACGAGCTTCTTCAAAAGTTATATCCTTTTCGAAATGCAAGTATATGTATTTCCGGTGCAGTGTCGCGTTTGAATATGATCAAATAATGCGGTGTGTTCGACACATTTTTTTCCAAAAGCCATTGGACAATTTCTAACGA